TGGCAGTAAGTAAAGCGTTTATTGGTAATCTATTTTTACGAAAATATAGTACTCTGATCTTTCTTCGTGTGTGTTTTATTAGTGTTGTCTATATCGCTTTGACAATTTTTTTGTATGTCTATATTTCGGTTCCTCCTGGACACCATGTTAAATTCCTGGAGAATTTGCCACAATGGGCTAACTGACTTTGATCTGATCTCATACTCATCATCCTTCACTGATGGAGCCAGCCTCAGCCAGTTCCAATAGCCTCCAATATAAAAATAATATAGTGATTATTAACCGGGATACACGGGCTACTGTTGTTCCCTGGAGGTCACAAAAATGTTCCCCGAAGGTATTTTCACAATCGTAAAAGAACGGGAATAGATGTAGTGAAATCATTTTTAATGTTTACAATAGACGTTTTTTCAATTAAAGGAAATCCTTCATGGAAACTGTACGTCTCGGGGGACACAAACTCTGACTCTGACAGACTTCTAAAAATTCTTCAAGTTAACGGAGGAGTTTTTATTAAAGTTGCTTCATTGCAATGTGTTATATCATTCGATCAATTCATGCGATTCTTTGTCGAAATCCCAATAGATTCCTAGTAAATTCGCCGCGATGGCCTAATTGACCTGACTACGTGCTGTTTCCATGATCGTTCATTAGTACCCATATAAGTTTATTATACTATTTTGATTATGATATACCAAGAGCACCAATGAAGTTCTTGCTTATTGTGTTTGCATTGCAAATGTGATGTAGGAATACTGTATAAACACACAAAGTTCCTATATTTGAATAAATATTATTTCTGTTCTATTCTAAGTGCTTAATACTAAGGTAATGATGAGGGATGTTTAAATAAAACTATATTTTGCTCTATTTTTATATATTCATCCAGACAACGGTACACTGTGACATTAACGAACTTAAATATTACTGAATTTTATTTGAAGTTACTACACACGATGTAACGGCCACTAAACAATGATATACTGTAAACCTGATACTGTTAACTACATGCATTTAACTGTTACATTGAGGAAATACACCGATTTTGATAATATTGTACTCGACATTAACATTGATAATATAATTTTATATGTAGGTATATGTCTCCGTCCGAACGAAGGTGGGTATCCTGAGATTATGTCGTGAAATTAAACTATTGTACGTAATAAAACGATCAGAAGTGTATATATATTATTATACTTACGAACCAAGGTAGGCCATTTCAGCGCATGTTACAATACAATTCATGCTACTGAAGCCTTTATAATTGTGGTGACGCGTAAAAAAATGTAGGTAACCTAGCTGTGAACACTGAAGAAAAAAAGCATTTAATATTTAGAAACACCGACATTTTAAAACAGCCAGATTACCTACCTGAAACTAAATACTTTTCGTTGTTATTGTTAAAACAATAAAAACAATTTCAATAATTGTTCGTTACATTGCAAATTTCTCTTTCGTTCGGACGTAGACAAAGTATATCATTATAATTACTTGCTTATTTATTAACAGAAATCTAGTGTTTAAATGTCATTTAATATAGTTACTATACGAGAACAGAGGGCATTGAAACAAAATCTTAACAACAATAATTGAATCAGTAACATAATTAACGTCAATAATCGCAGATATAATACATGATAAACTAAAAAAAATATAATGATTTATCATTAACTATCGATTGTTACCTCTGCTACATTTGAGTAGATACAATAGATATACATAAGAAATGAAGTATACAGAATTGCATTTAAACTCCCATACATGGAGCGATTTAATGCTTCGAACGAACGACAAGGAAATCTACCTATACGCTCGACTACAATATTGGATACGATATCGCTACGCGTGTACGATTGGTCGTGCGACATTATATATACATCGGACGACACATCGTTACGACCATCGCTCCCTGCACGGGTGGATCTCTAACGACTCTGAAGATTAACTCTACACTTATATGTTCAACATGTCTACACAAATAATTTGAATGAATAACTGTATCTTACAACTATGTTTGCTTGCTACCGTCTCTCCGAACATTGTGACAATCAGAGGTAACATAAACATTATCTAGTGGAGTGGCTAATGATATGCTTGTTAGAACCGAAAGCAAATACACTGGTAATACTTATTGTTACAATTGCTGATACCTACCGAACGGCGCTATGTACTTAATACTAAACAGTCAATAAAACATAGAACAAATTAATACTTCAATGAATCATTTTTGGTTGACGGACAGACTTTACAGGTAGGTATCAAATTACAATAAAACGTTTATAATTTGAGCCCATAGTGGCATTAGAACTACTTAAACGAAATAAATAATACACAATAATACAGTTATAATAGATGTAGGTACGTACCTGCCATCGAGATAATATGCAAAGAACACGAGACGTGTTGCTCTTTACAATTAAATATTTTAGGAAATATTTTTTTATATCACAAACGAAATGAAAGTGAGTCGAGAAGTGGGTGTGATGCAGTAGATTTGTTGCGCTGCCGCTAATGAACAGGGATTAATGAATTGTCAACTATTTTTAAATTAAATTCTATTTTAATATAAATATCAACCAAAACCGCCTCTGTAGTGTTTATGTATAACGTACTTACTACAAGTAAACATTTTACTTAACTATCACGAAAATAACATAGGTACTTATTTATGTAATCCAAATCGTTTATTCTCCAATACAATAAATTAATTGATTAATTATATAACTACAAGATCCACATTGTGATACAAAAAATGATGAACCGTACATTATAACTCAGTTCAAACAAATGGCACTTTGCAACGTCTGCATTGTTTCTCAATGATTTTGAATGATCACTCGTAAAGAAATATATATACATATATAGGATTAATTTTGACGCCAAATAGTCACCTCACGCTTGCCTGTCAGGGTATAACCACGCCGGCCGAATATATAATTTATGTATATTTTTTTCTATATAATAGTCATATGTATTTAATTTTATATAATAATTTTGAATTTTTATTATACTAACATTTTTATAGTTTTAAGCACGTTCAGAGCGGTCGGCGAGCGCGCGGCACGGCGAGCCGCGGGACGCTCGCTCGCTCGCCGGACTACGCTCCCGTCGACCACATCTAGCCGATCATCGCCGCACCCATCCCAACACTTACTGTGGTCAATAATTTGGAAGGCACTTTCTACTTTTTCAAAAATTTTAAATTTTAAATTACTTTTTGAACACATTAGCCTAGACTTACACAATAGAAAATATGCGTAGTAACATTTACCAAAAGTTACGCAATTCATTCGAAACGTATAGGCCATTATATAACTTTTTTTTTAAATTAGTTTTCCCTAGGTTACATTTAATTTCCAAAAGGATAGCCAAATAGTTTCAATATTAGATCTGAATTGCAAATGTATTTTTTAATAATTTGGTCTTTTTTATACACTAGTCCCAAACTTCAACCGAATGTTCCAAATCCCAAAAAAATGAAGTATCAAGGCCACTTGGAGACTTATCATAATCATTCATGAGCGTGCTTTGCGACGAGACTGCCCCGGGCGCGGGACGGGTGGCGCGGCGTGCCGACCTGCGTGAACACGGACAGGTGGGATGGATACACGGGATACAGGGGAATGGGATACTATATCGGAATACACAAGGAGATGTAGGGAAAGTGGAGATGCGGAGAGGCGAGTGGTACTAGGGACGCGCGTGTGTAGTAGTCGGGCACACGCGCCACCGCCGTTGCCCTCCCCGCCTAAAGTCACAATGTATGAACGCCAACGTTGTGTCCGCCAACAATATCTAATGGTATACCCTTGGGCAAGAAGTTCCGTACTCTAATAAATTTCCCGCCGAAACTATGAAACGATACAATTGGAAAGGTTACGATAAAACAAATTTGTACATATAAACCTTAATGAGAGTTCCTTGTCGCGCTGACCGCACCAAAGATGGCTCGAGTGCGCACCGAGCCTTTAATGACGTCAGTGTGAAATTGATGGTTTCTATTCTACAAATAGTAATACATAGCTAATCTAAATTGATTCGTACATACTCTAGCTACGCGTAGGTAGTTCAGCAGACGATCGAATGATGAACATTCAATGCTTGGCGATATCAGTGCTACTAAACCTAATGGACCCGACCTCCTTCCTCTGTACATTAACGAAATGAAAACTACATTAGAATAAGTTGTCAGGAGGATGTCAAGCTTCACTGTTTCAATTATAATCCACAGCATAATATCAGATGACATCATAATATATATCGAATGTTTATAATAGTAGTAAACATTATATGCAATAAGAAAACTGGTACGATATAGGTAATAATAAAGATAATAACAAATTAAGAGAGACACAGTGATTTGTCAACTTCGTGGTAGACACTCCGTAGCGGATGCAACACCGTACAGTTGAAAAGATACGGAGTGTGCAAAGAAAAAAGAAGTTCAAGCGCCTGTTGATACTAATACAGAGCCCCCCCCGTACGTCTGTCGCCCCGCAGGCGAGCCGCTCCACACGAAGTCGACAGAATGTAGATGTAGCAAATATGCTGCGTTTAATATTTTATATGCATAAGTGCTCCATCTACGAAACATTAAATGTATCTATCTACATAAAAAAAAAACTTAAAACATCTCAATTACGACACATAGCATCTCTATGTCATCAACATAATAATCAATAATAACAAGGGACAAAATAAAGAACATATTTCATACCTCTTGCGTCAATGTAGAGAAGTCAATCGAGTCCTGAACATCTAAATTAACCTAACATTTGGAACAATCACTACTGGCTAATGATACAATCTATATTACATTTGGCGACCACTAAGTCTATAGAATGTGAATCGCTGCACGAACAGTGAACAGTGAACGCGGCAACGGAAAACTGCATTCACGCTACATCCACATGGCCGCTAGTCCCGCTCAAGGGTAACTTCTCACAGAGCAGTCACATTCATGTTACTTTCATGTCAAAAGAAAATTTATACCCCTCTCATCTGAAGATCGGAGTTATTTTTTTTGTTACACAGATGTAACTATCAATAGGATAACTCTGTAAATAGCTATGCGAGCGTTACCCACAGGGACTGGATATACCGTCAATGCAAGTCTAAGACGCGGCAGGAATACGAGACGCGAACCGCGAAGCATAGGACGCGGGGTACACAGGGTACGCGGGGTGCGCTGGGTGCGCAGGGTACGCGGGGTACGCGGGGTACGCGGGGTACGCGGCGGACTGCGCGGACGTACCCGCAAGCAACAACACACATTCACTATAATTCCTATTAGAGAAATTGACATCGATCTGACGACAATTGAAATATCTATTCGAATACAGCTAAGACTATTAATTTATAATTTTGTCTTATACAATATGTTGGTGAATTACAATGAATAGGTATACCGAACAGTCTTTTGAAATCGGGCCAAATATTATAATTTTGATCTCCCTACGTTCACAGATGGATCTAAATCGTAACGTTTATTAGTTAAGCTTACATTTATGTCAGACATTCTACTTGTGAGTAGGTGTATGGGAAGGGGCGCCGAGTGCGGGCGCGCACGACGTCTTGCGTCGACACGCGGCGCCGCGCGACGTCGCGCGTGGAACTTTTGGAGTATTCGCCGCACACTCGCCGCCCCGCACACCTATCACTTTGCTAATATTAACAAAAATAATTAAACATGTCACTGGAACACATTACATAAACGACAATAGTATACAAAAAATAATAATTAAACTAAAAATAATCTTTCATAATAATAATACAAAATTCATAACTAAACAACAAGCATTATATTGCACAGCGAGTCCACTTTAAATAATAATTAAATATGAATGTGAAATAATGCCGAAACGAATCAAATGATTAAATACGCGTGTCGCCTCGCCTACTCGTGTGACAGTGTCGTGGGCCGTGTGTGGGCCGTCTGTGCGCGGCCGTGGAATGTGCTCGTATACAGACTGCTGGCCGGCCGGCTCGCTACGTTTAGAAGTAGCTGATGGAGTTACGGCTGGGCACGAAGTAGGGGTATGCGGGCAGCGGCGGTGGCGGCGCGCCAACATGCGCGTGCGCCGGTGCCGCGCCCGCGGCCTCGCTTCAGATGTTCTCAGCGCGCGTCTCCGCCGGCGGGGCCTCCATCTTCACCGGCACTGGCACCGGGCTAGGCAGTTCCTTGCCATTCTTAGCGATCGGGATTGGAGTCTTGGGCGGGCCCATATCAGTAATTTCAGCGACGACATCACGTTCTCCATAGCGACTGTCGGGTCGAGGCGAGGCGAACGGGCGGAACGGATCGGCAGGTTTGGGGGGTTCGAGAGCGTGGCCAGGTGGTGGCGGGGAGCACAGTGGGGACTCCAGGCCGGCAGAGAGCGGCGACGGCAGCCGCGGCGACTGCAGCGGCAGCGGCGGCAGGCCTAAGTGCGGCGGGTGGTCGGGGGGCCTCTGAGCGGCGACCACCATGTTGCACATCTGCCGACGCAGCCCGTGGGCCACGGCGGCGACTGCAGCCGCAGCCGCCGCGTTCGGCGACACGCCACCCTCGCGACCGTTGCCGCAAGCTACGGCGCCGTAGGCGTTTTGCACAGCCATGCCATCCTGGAACACGCATACGCCTACATACAATACTTGTCATATATAACAAACGAGCGAGTTCTGTTCGATGCCCCAACGCACCTACGCGACATTAGACGGGTGAGTCCGACATAATTACAAATGTAAAGTGTACGCCGAGCCGGTCGAACAGAAACTCGATACTTAATAAATCTAAAACGTTCGATGCTGCCGAGTGAATAGTTTTAATTTAAAGTCGCAAAGTAGCGAATTCGCAAGCAGCAAAAATCGAAGCATCGAATGTGACAGGGAGAATAAAAATAAGAATAATGAATAAGTATTTAATTTCGTTTGAGCGGGTTATATATTTGGTTGAGAGTCGCAGGATACTGACCGTGATAGCGGGATAGACGGGCAGGACCTCTTCCTTGATGTGGTGGCCAGCGTGGGGCGCGTGAGTGTCGCGGAACACAACAGCCCTTATGACCCCGCGGATGTGCTCGTCGGGCCACACGCCCAGCAGGATGCGCTGCGGGCGGCCACGGCCTTTAGGCCTCAAATCTGCAACGGCACACAATAGTAAAAGGTGAACGCAAACATACCGATGTTTAATATTACCGAAGGGAGCCTATTGAGCAATATATCTGTTATGGGCAAGTTGGAACGAGATCTGTAATACTTTTGGTTTGGAGTATGTCATAATTATATACAAACCATTAAGTATAAACAATATTGTCTTGAAAACAACATAATAAAAATATGTTGCACCTAATATAAATTGTAGTTTATTAAATTAATTGTGTGTAAACAATTTTAATATATAAATTATGGTGGTCAGACGACAGAAAAATAATAAATAGTAAAGCTGTAGACCAGTGGCGAACATGTGCATTTCAGTCTATTCATACAAGTGTGTACTGTCTGTAATTGATAATACATACATAAATAACCATGCAAGCCATGCTAGACAGCGCCATCTAGTCCATACTAGGCACATCTTGTAATTGTATACTAAGCTGATATATAACAAGCTAGAAGAAATAAGACCAGCCTACAAGGCTTTACTTCCAGTGACGCAGGCGGTAGTTAAGTAAATAATAATACACTACATATATTTATGTGTAAGTAGATACTAAATATAGAAAATAACTAAGTGAATTAAATCAATTATACTCTGAAAAAAGGTTGTATCGTGCGGTGTTTGAAATTGCAACTGTTGAGGTAGTGTTTTAAACCGCCACCAAGGTCGGAACTTGATACTTTTGAATATTTTAACAGCTATTATATGGTAGAATAGTAATTTTGTACCATTATAAATTATTTAAATGGATTTATGACCTTCCATTTAGTGAGATAGCAACACAATGAAACAAACGTTCATGTAATTAATTCTAATAAAGCCAATTAATTCATATAAACAGCGGCCGGAAAATACACACTGTTAAAACTACGTACGAACTCAATAATGATGACACAAGTTAGATTTGTACAATTTCGTGCATTTACAATTTTACAATTTAAATTCGCTTGGCATAATTCGCAATGCATATATTAAAATTAATTTACACACACATAATAAATATTGTTACTGATATTTATGAAAATATATTCAATTTGTCAGCCCATAGGTTTCACGTGGTTAATCTCTCATGTTATAAAATCATATAATCGTGACGAGACAAAAATCATCTCTTTGTGTGTTAATATTTCACGTAGGAACGGTTTAAGAATTCAGATAATTTTCACAGAAACTACACTATGTTATTAATTAAGTATGAGTCACCACATAGGCTAAAAAAGATGAGGATACTCGTCGTATTGATCAGTTTCCTAAATAAATAATATATAGTATTATATATTGGTGGTATAGATGTTTTATTTATTATAGGCGTTTGATTTACTATCAATAGATGACACCGTGAGTTCAATTATAAATAACTATCCATAAACTTATAACACGACGCCATCTAGTCCCAAACTAAGCAGAACTTATACTCGGCTTACGAAATAAAGGACAAAAACTTACTTAATACACTTTATCTTTACATGTTCATTGTAAACAATAAATTAAAAAAAATATGAATAATCTAAAACGGTCAGTTTGTATGTATATGTCACTTGCGATAATGGTGGAATTTCGATGAATTTTTCCCAGAAATAATATAAAGAAATATTTAATTATATAAAAGTTGGAGATTAATTAGAAAATAGTAGGGAAAAATAATAATTAAAATAAATTAAATTCATAAGTGGATAAAATGTCCTACAAAATATTTTTTTATTTGATAGTTAAATGATATATTTCGTCGTATAGATCCTATATTTAATTATTTTATTTGATTACTATTACTAGATGTAAATTTATAAATACATATGAATACGAAATCGCGGGCACCATTAATTCATTAATACTAATATCGTACGATTGAAAAATATTTATTGTGCAAATTTTTAACCCGCGACCATATACTGGTGAGACAGTATGTGGAACCATTGCACAGACGCGTAATTTATTAGAATAAGAAAAAATATTCACAATTTCGACGAATTAATCTTGAATTACGTAGACTTGTAGACTAAACATTTGTAGAGGAAAAATACGGTTTACGGTAAATTAAATATTCCATATTACTGACATTGTCAGTAATACAAGAAATATACTACTGTGGTAGAACTGTATGACTGTATATCATGCATTAAATTTAATACCGTATAATATTTAATTTTACCCATTACTAATTCCTTACGTAAAACGGGTGTTATAAGTCTGAAGTGTCTATATGTCTGTCTGTGATAACGTAGCTCTTAAACGAATGGACCTACTATGATGCAGTTTTTTTTATAAAACTTACGCGATGGACACATTTTTTTCCAACAATTCTTAATTTTTCTTTTTAAAGTGTTTCTATGATTAGGTATTTAAATCATTATTTAAATCCCTAAATAATCATAGAAATTTTTCAAAATTTCATTACTCATTCAAATTCAGTACTTTTACTGAGAAATAATTTTCAATAACCAATTATGTAATGTAAAATACATTTAATATCTATATGTATGTATATAAATAAATATGTAAATGTAAATAAAAAAAATACTTTAATCACAATACAATGGAGTAACAATTTAATACCTTAAACGCTAAATTTGAATAAGAAACCCACGGACTGACAGATATAAAAATAATATACATTAAGCAACAGAAATCAGGTCATACTTTCTGTCATTATCACATTCATCACCCTCGTTATTAGTAAATTTTCATTTCATAGCCATACGAGAAGACTATGGTATTCCATAGTCTTCATAGGTATGATGGGACTGGTATTGACATCCCTGAATAAAATGGAGGTAAATAAAATTACTCTAGTTTATTTATGGTAGGCCTGATGACTGTTGCTTTGTGAAATGTAAAAATCATCAACATACCTGCTCCCCCATCAGCACTCGGGCCCAGCATGTTGTGGACTCTATTCGCATAAAGTACGAAGGTCGGGTATGGTATATCGTACTTCCTCGCTGCCTGGGACAACGACAGCCCTTCTTTCAGCACGGAGAAGATGGCTTCGGCCATGGTCTCTGGGCGCCAGGACTTGAGGGGCCCACGCTCGCGGAAGCGAAGGTTGTGCACCAGGCTTTGGTTGGTATTCCAGCACTTCTGCCACATCGACTGAAGTTGGTATTGGTAGCTGTCTGCTGAAAATAGATAAATCGTGTTTTAATAATGGCACTGCTGGCAATATTTAGCACATGATATAAGTAAGTATATATAGTATAGTAATAGTAAGTATATATGTATATATAGTATAGATGATGATGATTACCAGATATTTATGATATATACAAATTATGGAATGGCAAACAAACAGTCCCTAGAACAGCATCACGGACATGATATCATCATACTATAGGTAGCTGTGGCAGCCACATGACGCAGAATACATGTATGGCCATTCAGGAGGACTATGATGTTTGTTTCCGTTCCTTTATACCTTGTAAGTTCCCTGCCGTATCTCATTCTTCAACTGAAACTAACTTTACAAAGCATACTGCTGACCTATGCAGAAGACTGTAAAACCTCGATATTTTTTTAAGTTATATACATATTTACTAACAACATCATCTATTGAATATAAAGGATAAAGAACTTATAAATAAAACAATAAAAATATTATCAATACAAAATATCGAGAGAAACGCAGACGAAGTTGCGCGGGTTAGCTAGTCTTATAGCCTACAGGTACATAAATACCTAAATGTATCTGTTGCTTTTGGTAGAAGCGTGAATAGAACCCTTTCATGTTCACGGCTGTGTGCACATATTCAAATGCAACCAATTTAAGAGCCAGCTTCCTAACGAATCCCGGATTAATTGATACCTACTGGACATTTTTAATTGACATAAAACTTTTTAACAAATTTCTAAAAATGAACGTCTTTCTCGGTGCGACTGTACTTCTATTGACTGACATATGCAACAGTCGGCAGATAGGTATTTATAAACCAATGAACCAATGAAGTTTTTTGGTGATTATTTTTACGGTTTGACTTCCTTTGACCATTAGATTTGCATTAATCCTATCACTTCTTGTTTTTGGGGAACAAAGTATAAAATCGTTGGATGTCAACTCATGAAGTTTGTTTTGCAAGCGAGGGCCGATAACTACTTTCAGCGTAGATCGACAACTCGATTGTTTTTGTAAACTATTTTATATTTTATTTTACGATTTACCAATGTTGTTGCAAACACTGTGACACGGCTCGCTACTGCTGCTAACTTAAGAGATTTTATCAACTTAACAGAACAAAAAATAATGAATGCTATAATTTTTTCTGTTTGTCTGTACTTTGATCTAAAAACTATACATAACATATTGTGTACATGTATTGTATAATTTTAACATAAATGTTTTTTATTTCGATTCGAATAAACATTAAATTTCAAGTTATACTTATAGTAAGTATAACTTGAAATTTCGTGTTTATTACACAATACTTATATTGTATATACATATTTTATATCTTGTATATACATATAATATTTTCAATAGAACTGGTAATGCGTGACACTGTTGGCTCAATAAGTTTATACATATTTTGCTTTTGAAATTACAAAACACTCTTTTAACATCATAACCCAATATTTCACTGTCAATAAAACAATAAAAAGAATGTCATTGCATGATTAACTGGACCACTTTTAATGGAATCATGAATAAATTGATAGACATTGCAATATTTGCGAAACAACAGTAATGGATGCTGTTAATTAATTTATTGACATTGACATAAACACTGTTTCCTCAAACCTCAAACTCCTATCTCTACTTCCCTCTGTAATTATCGGAAGTAGGAACTGGTAGGATCACAAGTACACGTTAAACGAAACAGTTTCTATTTAGTTTTTATACTCGTATTCATATAACTTTATATATCTTTACCACGATTTCGAAAAACAATTTCGTTACATATTTTTCTTTAATTATTTTCTATTAATCGTTGCGTAGATTTTTCGTTACATTATTAATTATAAATAATAAGTATTCTGTAATATCTTTACGTATATTATTGTGTGTGGCACTTCTTTCCATATTTAAAATTGTAGCTTATAATATTATATTTTTTCTAAAAGTTTAACATTTTTGTTACCTAATTTTCGCAACTAAACTAAACTAAAATATTACGAGAAAGTTTTTTTTATTAATTATGCTATTTTTAAATACAAATACAGAAATAATTAAAGACAACTGGCATAAATGCACAACAATATATGGATTATTAAAACATGCAAGCTATAGAGATAAAAAACACTACATACTGACCTTCCGAAGTACCTGAATAGACACAAAAAGACAAGATTAATTATAATACAGGTACATAAATGAAACAACGTGTATAGAAACCTTTATTTTCTATATTACCACCAATGTTGCAGTCTTGTTGAATTCATGATAAGTACAGTAAAAATTTAAAGCTATGTAAGTACTAGTTACGAAGCTTTTTCAATAGCACAAGAAAAATTACAACAAAAAGGTTAACAATTTAAAAAAAAATAAAAATTTGGAAATGTCTTTCATTAAGACATTCAAAGTCATTTTAAGTCATGATAAGTGATATTATTCAACTAATAGTATTATTACATAATAACAGTATATTTAGGTAGGTATAGGCACTTTTGGAATTGTTATGGCGAAGGCAGACCGAGAACGGCGGCCATTTCATTTAACTTACAACTACGGGTGAAACCGCGTGGCGTAGCTGGTTCCATATATATTTTTGACATAATGAACCACTGGCATAGCGAACGGTCGTTTAGCATTTTATGTATATCAATATGCATTAATTATTTTAGGAAAAAATATCTCATTAATTATGCATGCCGCATATTAATGGAGGTACGAAACGGCGCGCCTGTTTTGTACGCCGCCATCTCAGCTTTATTTGCAATAAGTCAAACCTGCGAACATGTTTATTCATATATATATTTTAGTAAAATATGAATTATTCTATTTCCGATAGCCTATTCTATTTTCTCATGTAATAAATAATTAAAAGTATTAAAAGATTTAAAACAAAATACTAAACTTACGTTGTCAATATAAATAATAAAATATACCTATGTGTATGTATACATATGTCTATGAACCGTAAATGTTAATTATATTCTTTATCGCATTTTTAAATATATTAGTTAAGGATGTCAAATAATTTTAGTTGTATAATGTCAAAAAAATTGTAGGCTAAACAAAAAAGAAAGTCTATTTCTATTAACAGTTTTAATAATGAGACAGCTATTCTATTTGTAAATATAAAGTATAAAGATTTAATATCAATCAAATCTCCTCAATCACGTGACCAATATATGCTGTCCTTTTTACCATGAAAAAAGGAGATCTAGTCTAGTCTGAATTTCAAAGTCTGAGTCAAAATGATCGAAAATACAATATTTCTCGTTCTCCCACACTATATGTAATTTCTATGTATTATACTGTTCGCTATATCAATGGTTCAAGAAGTTGTTCTATTAATAATAAACTTAGAATTAAAAAAACATGACCAATGTAATAACACCTTAGGCCATGTTTAATATGAAAATAATAAGAGATTGTAAAGGTGAATATACAACGACAGATAAAACAAAATAAAAGAAACATAAAAAAATAAACGTAGCAAAGGACGTGCTTTATAAAAAAAGTTCTAGATATGAACATATTTAAGAGAATCTCATCTTAATCAGCGAAACAATAAATACATACAAGTAATACATTCCAAGCAAAAATCTGAGTATAAAGGAACGTTTTATAAAATTATTATTTCGTGAACAAAGATAATAGAGAATTAATAGTGTACATTTAAAAATAGTTTTAATACTTATAATAATGACGATATATTTTTGTATATCACAAGTACATTAAGCACTAAAAAGGCACATTTGACTATATGTTACTATAATAATATTGCCTACTTACATAATTTTATACTAAGGATTTAATTAAGTATACAAAAATAATCAACAAAAATACCTAGTCTTTATACAGACAAAAATATATAGTGTTAGTGAAGACTTGCCCAGCAATATGTAAGCACATAACACTTGTCACAATAGCAACCTAATGGCGATCACATATAAAAATGTTTGAAGTTGTCAATGATGTCAGTGCGACCAAGTATTTACATATTATTAGTGACCGTACATAAAACAAATAGTGTGGATAGCGATTGTACATAAACAGAACTGCCATCACAGCAAATAGTTGAAATACGACAACTATGCGCATCATTGACGTCCACGGTTGCCGTGAAATTTGGTTCTGAAATTTGGCCTAAAATGACAATTTCATTTAATCATATTATATTTTAAAAAACTATATTTCAAGTGCATTTTATTATCGAAAAAAAAATTAAATGTGTTTTTCGAAGTATTCCAGGAACATTAAATACCTAATTATTTTTAATTTGAGTTTATTTACAGGACGAGATAACTCGTAGTTGGCAGTCAACATGTTAAGTACAGTAAAATTTTTGTACTTCAAATTATAACCATGAAAACAGTCTGAAAATTACCAAAACAGTCTGTTTGGAACTGATTGTACATTAGTACCTATGTCTGTAACATTACAACTAACCCTGATTTCCCTAAATATTAATCTTTTATTACAATAATTATTTATTGCTACTAATCAGTCAAAAGACAACTAGTAATCTAAGTACCCATTAAAAATTGTCACTGTGGCAATTTCGTCACACAGAACCTCTGCGTGTGACAATGTCACTGAAGTACTTAACAAATTATTATATAAATGCGAAATAAACAATAGAACTAAGCCACTTAATACAGAAACAAAAAGAGCATTCCGTATAGGGCTAACTAATAATTACAATATTGTAATCATACAATACAATAACATCAGTTATCATCTAATTACATCGTTTCCCAATATTTGGTTAGCAGCAAAATGTTTAATCATCCATGCTAAACAGATTAAAGTCATCTCAGTGCAGTATCAATCCATTGCACAAAGGCAAATACATTAGTAAATTAATTACGAAATTAACTATTCAGTCATTAGCAGACTTGAAAGCAAATAATAAAGATTATTTATATGTAACCACACAAAATGTAATTTTAAATAAAAATAATTTTGTATATAAAATATATTAACGATCAACGTGTTAATCAGTGATATTGATTAAAAAAGGAGGGTGAACATATGTTTCGTTGCTACAACAACAATATTTATATTTTGAAGCATTTAAAAACTAAGTTATTATCCGACGTGAATATATTATAAACTGGGACATAGACACCTGGCTTTAATTAAATTGTTTCACGTGAATATTAATTACGTTCCCAATCGTAGCTAGTACTATATTTGGCTGAGAGGCGTGACGATGGAAAATGACTTTTCGGTACACACAATAGATTACTCAATCAACGTTCTATTTAAAATTACATTTTGGGGCTCAAAACGCATCCTTGTGTGACTACCCTGGAAATTGATTATTGAAAATGCAGAATATGACTAAGATATAAGTTTCGTCATTTGAGTTGATCATTAGTTGTGTGCTTTGACTCCAATTTAGGTAATTTAGGTTTATTTGTACTGTCATAGTACAGTGATACAATAGAATGCTTCTTACAAAACGCCCACCACCATCTAAATCCAGTTAAACCGACAAAAGTGAAGCCAGGTTCTCTAATTTGTCTTATTTTTTCTACAAATGTTATAACTTCGGATAAAGATTTTTTTGTTCTTCTATTATATGGTGAAATGTTGGTGTCACAACAAAAGTCTAGAACGGCTCTTTCCTCATTAAGCAGTAGGCTTACTTCATCTAACACGGCCATTCGCTTCGATTTTCCTAATATGTTATCATATAATGTTCCCTTAGGAATGCCGAAGTATGTAGCAGCTTGAGTGAATCTCATCCTTTGTGCGACGACCGCTTGTATTGCTTCTTGGAGTTGATGTTGGGTCCATGTTGGAGTTTTCAACTTGAGCCTATGACCGTGGCACTCTAGCAGATAAAAGCAATATATGAAGCATATCAAAAATCCGTTCAAATGATGCAATATCGAAAGATATTGGTAATGATTTTTCAATCGTCACGAAACGAAAATATGTCACAAATAAATACACCAAATGATCACTGTAAGTATGGAAACTATATGCGAAAGTTACCTATATATGTTTAAAGAAAATTATTGGCTATTTACAAAATAAGGTTAAATTGTGACTGTTATGTCATATAAAGTGATATAAGAGATACTTAAAGTATTGTTTTATGTTACGTGTATCAGTGACATAACAAAAATCACAGTTCCTGTATTAAATAAAGTACACTTTATATTATTCCGCGATATCCATATTTCCCACGACAATAATACGTTGGCAAACGTCAAATGGGGTACTTATAGTGACTAAACATGAACAACTTGATACTGCATCATTATGGTCCGGACATGTTACGACATGCAGGTTATACACACACTCTCGCACACACACACACACACAAACACAACACATAAAGCAAGTATAAAAGATATGAATTTAAGTGAAAGTAGTGAATTAAAAAAATATATTCGTTATAAATCTACTGAACAGATTACTGACTATCAATATTATATAAATCCTTTTGTACTTTGTCGTATTAACTAATAGCGTAATTGTTGATAATATTATTTTGACGAAGTACTAAAGTGTTTATATTATGCTAAATTTATGGCAACTCGGACGTCAAACTTATGAAACGAAAATAGATTGTTATTAGATAGATGTGCATAACAGTGGATTACAAGAGATCAACTGACCTGCAATAGATGATGTAGACGCACCAAGCCAAGCGTGGGAATTCTCCAGTAGTTTAGCCTGTAAAGAAAAGAAACACATTAATATCTATACAGATTGTTGGAGTGGGGTATCAACATATTCATCTACCATTTCTACTACATTATATCCAGAAATATATCATAATTGTACGAAAAATTTCTCTTTCCATCGTTCAAGATAAAATATGCGTGTTGTATCATTAAAAGTTTAGTTAACTTTAAAATATAACAAGCGAATCTCGTCACAAGATACATTGTTACATTATCGACATGAACGCAAGTATCTCAGCATTACATCCAAATTGTTCAGTTTATAGGGGTAACTGCTTCAAATAAGCCCATGAAACAATGTCGATATTATGTTTGTATCGATATTAATAACTTATAATTAGTTTATTGCCCATAAAATCCGTCGTTACACCGTAGCAACTGTAAAATATATTCTTGGTTAACAATGAGGTTATTGTTACCTATATACGTTGGTTATTGTTGCTGCCACATTCGTGTTATGGGTTTTAATCAAATGGTATATTTAGAAATATAGTTTTCATTTTTACGATATGTTTTCGGAAGAAATAATACGCGGCCGACGACTTGGGGGGAGCGTATGTACTTGCTTATTCAGAACAGGATCTTGTAACGAATTTGCAATTCAAAATTAATAAGGCTTATACGATTCGACAAGATATGAATGCGTAGCTGTTTTTACATTGATTGCTGCGTGTTGTGTAAAGTAGTTCATAGTTATTTAAGGTATCATTGTTGAGTTTAAGTACATATATTAAGCTTAATACATTTATACAGTCTTCTTTATGTATAACAGTTTTTTTTTAAATGGGTATGAAAGAGTTAGAGTATAGTATTTAGTAATTATGAAAGTGTAGTTAAAATTAAATGACATTGTAACAAGTGTTGAAGTGTCTAGTAGATATTATAGACCAGTCTTTTTTTGTCAAAATAAATGAGGTGATGGTCCAAATGATGGAAAATAGTACACCCTAGTTTTATAATATACATTGCGACGATTTTGGTACTTACATGTAATCGTATATATGCAAGTAAATCTATAGATAATATCCGGTCATACACATGTGAATATGATGTATGATTTAAAATTAACTTGTTACATATGAGGCAATTAAAATGTCAGATTTTATTTATAAACAAGATATCTACTTACGTGATTTTTAGCATACTATCTACGGACAGATATAGATTAGACTTAGCAACTCAGCGCATGACTAATAGTAATGGCTGTTGGTTTCACGGACGATTAAAATAACGTACTTATTCTTTATTATTTATTGTACACACACATAGAAAAACATATATGATCAGTGATACAATAAATGTAATGTACAAGAGCGAGCTTATCTATAAAAAGAGATTTCTTTCAATAAACCTAGAGAATGTATAGAATGTAATGTATAGAATGCTGAGTTAACTAGGTGCACTTAAGTATGTTTGTTATTACTTATTTAAAATTTATTAGTTCACCATTTCATTTATATTTATCGGGAACAATATTTTTCTATATGTATGTAATTTCGTTAACATTCCAATTACTAAAAAAGGTTTACAGTTAGACTAGTTCCAACTGTATGTATTCTAACTGTAGAGGTCGACCTGAGTCGAATGTGCCTACATATATATTCAAATCAGGACGACCTCCATACCATCGTGGTAAATTAGTAAATTTGTCAGGATGGATAATTGAAATAATCTGACTTGATTCTCGTCTTGTTATCCTTAGTTCGCGCAGGTAGGGAAGCAATCCAGAGGAATCTCTGACTGACGAGAGATAAATCTATTGGATGAGAATACACCTCTTTCTATGAGGTTGGGAATGACGTGGCTGGACTTTTTTTATGTTACATATCATGCAGTATATAATATAATACCTATTCTCTCACAAAACGTGCGATAGTATCGTAATATTATACCGTGTAAAAAGTGACAATATGAGTATATTACTGGCTGGCAATTGAATAGATTTTTCACACAATACACGAACTATTGTTTCACTTAATTACTATCTGATAATGTACCACATACCTACTACCGTTTATGTTGTAAGAACATACGCAACATTCACGTCATATTGTTTTTTTTTACTTTTCAATGCATGGAGATCCCATGGCGTCACGAGACCACCTGTCGTCTGATGTTCGTGGTTGCTATAGATATTTAAAAAAAGAAATTACAATATTTAAGCTTAGAAATGTATATTACAAATTTTTACTCGAAATACATTTTTTTCGTAAATACTATACATACATAATAATAGACCAATACAAACAAGAATACTTATAAAGATACATGTAAATGTTAGCATCGTGTAAAGAATCGAAACCGTGACCGTTAAATCAATATATACTATATTTTGCAATTAGACTTTAAAGCTAAACCATTAGAGTAGATTTTTTAAAGTCTTTGAGTTATTATAGTATAATGTTAAGTTTGTAATATGTAATATTGAGGTACAGAGACGCCAATACAAATAAAATGCAACTTTAGAATGTAAATCCAGGTAAATCCACCAGGTAACGTAAAAATATATTAATTTAATTCACATTCACAAATAAATACAGTTGTTATTTGTTTGTGCAAAAACCATTTAACAGTTGACACGTTGTCGCAAACAACGTGCGACCAAACGAGGCGTCTGTCGCGCGACCGACCCAACCAAATGACAACGGGACATTTTAAAATGTTGCTTTTAATATTCCTTTGAAATGAATAAAGTGTTAAAATATTTTTTATAACTGAATATGAAACGGAAGCTGAATGCCACATACGAGTGAATATTGCTAATATTTTTTTGAACGTACATTGTAATATTGTAAGGAAGAATTACTGAAATATTTGATTTTTTGTTCATACTGTATAAACTCAAATAATAATTAGGTACTTAAAAAATCTTTAGATAGCTATATTATCAGTAACAAATACCTACTTATATGCTATATAGTAGCCGGTTACTGTCTTAACATCTATGTACAAATGTCTCTACAAAGTATTGGCCTGAGTCTAGACATATTTCTAAACATCATGTATATTAATAATTTGTTAAAAATTCAAATAAACTAGTGTACGACTACAGTACAAGCTTCAGGTTAATTAATATGAACGCAGCAAAGAAATAGGGGATCAATTAAACGGTCAGATGAAAAAGAACAAACCGTTCGTTAATTCACAATTTCCCCATCTTATACAGGAAGTTTACAATTGCAATATTTATCGATCGCTACTGTATTTCATGCGTCGAATGCGCGAGCGCAGCGCCCGGTTATTTATGTTCGTCAGTAATTGTTGGAGCAAAGAGCGGCATTTCTTTGTACAAAACTTTATCGAAGTTTTAATTGTGAACGCAGACAAAGCCGGGCGTTTTACGGCGGCAATAACGCATAGCCATCTAGAAATAAAAAGTACGCGCGAAGTCGCGCGGCGCCTCGCGACTACGAGCCGCCGCGCCGCGCCGCGCCGCGCCGTGCGTGTTTACAATCGCACACGTGCTACGAGTGCCGGTTGAAACGTTCCGATGTATTGTTTGTTTACCCGAATAAAACACTAAAATCCAATTCAATAACAAAGAATTAAAGATCCCAAAATAAAATTTATTGCTGGAGTACGATAAACTAGATTTATGTACGCGGCGCGCGGCGGAGGGGCGAGGAGCAGGCAGCACCCGTGTTACCTATTATATATTAGGCCACTTGCTGAACTCAAGAAGCTGTACAATTATAAACACTATTAACACCGAATTAAATTGCTTTTTACTGAAACGGATATCTACTTGACATGAACAATTTAGTTATGACCCGGCGTCTGCACCTCTGTTTTACCTTATTCTGTCGCTGAGTGTTTGCTCTGCAAAATGTGTTAAGTTTTGATAGTGTACATAGTATATCGTGGCACTGGAATTACTGGGTACGAAGTATGTCCGCAAGAATGGCAAAGCGTTTGTGGTGGAGTTCAGGCAAATGAAGTTATCACTTTCCAAAAAGTTGGTCATTAGCCTGTTTGTCAGTTTTCAGTTTCAGTTATTTAAGAAACAAAATAAAGCTGATTTTCAACTCTATTAATGCATATCAATTCCTTAATATCAATTAAAATAAAATTCTATACGAAAAAAAATAAAAAAAATACTGCCATTATAAACATGCCAGGATACAGTGAACAGCCTCGATCAAATTTCCAAAACCCTACTTCCGATCAAATATGTACGCAGACGAATACATAAGTCTCAATGCAATCATAACAATAGGCTCAAACTAGAAGCATAGACACTAGTCTAATGAACCACTGTTGATAATTAATAGTATTACTGTTTAGTGCATTATGAACATGCTGGGTAAATCCCCAAGGGTAAGTCCAAGCTAAACGGGGATAGGAATAATAACGCCTTGAGTCAATGTTCGAACCCCTAACTGTACCCTCAGTCTAAAGTCGTATACGTCAAGCAGGAGTTGGACTTCAACTGCGTCATAAGTCCTTCCGCGGCTTTGGACAGTCATTTGCACTCGCTCTGTAACATTCGGTATGCTGTAAAGGCCACGGAAAAACGACGCTACAATTTTTTATACAAACTTTGAAATATTTTGATTGAAAAAGTAATTTAGAGTAATATAATATTTAAATGAAATTGTTCTAATTAAGATAACTAATGATCTATATAGCTAACATTCTATATAGCACAATCAGATAAATATATATATATGTACGTATGGATATGAAATCTTTAATGTGCGAGCTCTTTTTGAACATTTCTATTTCAGTAATTACCTTTCAACTGTTAGAACTCAGTTCGCTACATGTATTATTAAAAATACGAAAGTCCATTTGTTTTATCGCTCGTTAATATTTCACAGAAAAAAGGCATTTCGCATATTACACTACCAAAGTTATGTATATCGACATCGCCCTTAACAATTACAATACTTTGTCCGGGTATTATTTTGTTTTGTGTTTGTATCTTTCCTCAAAAGATTTAAGTAACACATGTTACTAAAAATATATATACTGAGTATTAAAACAATC